AATTCAGAGTTGTCTTCTTCGATAAAGTTTGCAATTCATCAATAATTCTTATAATACTCAAGAGTCTAGAGAGATTTTCTTAAGCAGTGATAATACCCCACTCTCATAAGATATATTAAGAAGCTGTAATAATTTGTTATATATTTAAAATTATTAAACTGGTTATTAAGACCAGCTGCCTGCAATTATTGCAGGTTCGAATCTTTCCAAGGCTCAAGGTTGACTCAGCCTTCCATCCTTTCTAAGGTAGGTAAATTGAGGACCCAGTTGTGGGGGTAATAAGCTGACTTTATATAAATATACAAAAGGTTGAAGGCTATTGCTGAGCACATTGTAAGCTGCCCTGAGTCTCCGGAGAAGGGCGGCATATAAATCAAAATTAAAAAAATAATAATAACTAACAATAGTTTGTTAACTTTCTCTAGGAAGATAGTATACTGTACATCCTTAAGATTTAAGTAAAAATTATTCCTTAAAACTTGACCAAAGATACTTTAGCTAATGACTGGACTGTTTCAATTAGAGAATCTTAAGCTATATCAAATATGAGCAATGTAACATTTAAATCATTTTGATGGATTTATTCCCCACCTTTCATTCAAGAGATCAAAGCAAGATAGGCAGTAACCACTCCTATTTTATTTCCTTACCACACCCACCCTTTAAGATAGGAATGAGAATAAATCACCCAGCAAGCTTCCATGGATTGAGGATGTACTTGAACTGGGGTTTCTGCAGTGCTAGTTCAAAACTCTTAGTATACAAACAGGAATGTGATAGCAAATGAACGAACCATTTCACTGTTCCATAAAGAGCAGGATTATGTAGGATCATGAAACAAACCCATCATATCGATTTCTGACTTGACTACATAAAAGCTGAAGATTTTTCAATTTACACTGTATATGGTATTCATATATATATTTGCTTTTTGATAAATTCTTCTAATTTAAATATTTGTATAATAAAAAACCACTCCTGGAATGAACGAAGAACATTATTTATAATGCCTTTATAAGACCACTTTTGGAATATTGCATCCAGTTTTAGTCACCACAATATGAAAAAGATGTTGAGATTCTAGAAATAGTGCAGAGAAGAGCCTCAAAGATTAGGGGACTGGAGGTTAAAACATATTAAGAACAATTGAAAATTTGGGTATGTCTAGTTTAGTGAAAAGAAGGACTAGAGGTGACATGATAGCAGTATTACAATATCTAAGGGGCTGATACAAAGAAGAGGAGGTCAAGCTACCTCCCAAACACCTGAAGGCAGAACAAGAAACAAGGGATGAAAACTAATCAAGGAGAGAACCAATCTAGAAATAAGGAGAAATTTCCTGACAGTTAGAACAATTAATCAGTGGAACAGTTTGCCTTCAGAAGTTGTAGATATTCCATCACTGGAAGTTTTTAATAAGAGATTAGACAACTGAAATGGTATAGGGTCTCCTGTTTGAGCAGGGGATTGGACTAAAAGACTTCCAAGGTCTCTTCCAACTCTGTTATTCTGTTATACATTCTATTGAATTTATTTTGTAAAAACAATTGTGAATCAATATTGTTTAACAATAAACTATACTCTTTTTCAAAGCTATTACCATTAAATAAATACGTTAATCATACTTTTTTGAGATAAGACCATCATCAGATATAGTAGAAAAATATAGTGAACACAGTCTTATCACTAAACTTCTTACAGGAAATAATTGTACTTTTTCCAAGGGCAAGAAAACTGATTATGTATTTTTGTGCCCCATATTAACCTAAGCGACTATTTATTTTGGACAATATGAAACAATATGAAACAATATAAGTCAACAGTAAAGCACCATACCATGCCAGGTACCTTTTCTAGGTTAATGAAACAGGTTAAATATGAAGGGCATGAAATAACTAAGTAAGATTAGGAGGGGGGAGGAAGGGGGAGAGAGAGTGTGCGAATAGATTTGGCCAGGATATATAACCCAGAAAAACATGAATACAAATTCTGTTTCTGTGGACATTTATCTTTTTTATTGTATGAAGAAAAAGATCCTTGGATCAAGAGAAGCTGCTTTTGACATTGTGTCAGTATCAATGTACTCTGAAGGGCCAGAAAAACTAAAACCAAGAATTCTGCTATATACACCAAGTCCTTAGACATATCCACCTATTTTTGAAGACAGGACTTTTTTTCCAGTTCACTAAATTCATCTGTTATACAGTATAGAGATGGCAACCTTTTTTTTCTTATGGAAAGTACTGGGTGGTAATCTGAGAAGGAAACATGTCAGTGTTGAGCAGAGTTTCACCTTTCTCTTATTTGATATAGAGCTTGTGCTTCTACTCAAGCAACAGCTGTTTTAATACTAGCTCCTTTTGTGTCTAGCAACATGGCCAAATGTCATCCACCCTTACCCAATAATATGCTTAGCATTGGTCCTTTAACATACTTTTGACTGATTTTAATCTTCCCATCTAATTTTAATATGTTGAACTTCGGATATTGTGTTTGTTGCTTAGTTTTCATGATGTTGGGAATATACACTTTAGAAATAAAATACATGACATGAGGCAAGAAGATTAAGTGTGATACATATATATTTTACCCACATTATATATAATTATTCCCAAATGTCACTCTTAATGCAATTTCATAAGCCAATATAACAACCAAACACAAATACATATATACATATACATACATTTGCAAAGATTCCATATTAAAATGAAAAAACTATTTAGTTTTTCATGATATCTAAAATTTAACATAATAGGAACTACATTTTTCTTCTGCAGAGTAGGCAGAATTAAAATTAAGACTAAAATCAAGGTTTTGTAGACTACAGATGTCTCACTAGATTTGGTTTTTGGTTTTTTGGAGGAATGGGCTTAGCTTCAACTCAGTGTTTATTCCTGGCAATTGCTTGGACCAGTCCCTTGCCATGGTTCTCTGGAAGTGGTTCGCCATTCTTAGGAGTGAGAGAGAGTGCCTGGCTCAAGATTACCTAGCTGGATTTATGTCTAAGGCAACACAAGAACTCACAGTCTCTCAGTTTTTAGCTTGATGTCTTAACCTCTACACCAAACTAATGCTCAAGAGTTGGTTTAGGTTAAGAGGAAAACAAATAACCATTCATAAGAATGAACTTTAGTAACTTAGTTCTTCAATTAACATCAAATCCTTCTCTGATCAATGAAATTTCCTCCTTACATAAGATAGCACAGAAATGCTGCAGTACATAGGGCCTGCTTACCCAAAGGGAACTCTCATAGTAGCTACCCAGCCTACAAAGCAGGGTTGACACACTCTGGATTTCTTTGATTTACAAATGCCATCTACCGAGACCCCAGAACTGTGCCTTCTCTGAAGTAACCTATGCCCTCTCCAATGAAGTCTTCTTCTCCCCGAGATCCTGATGCTGGTGTTTCAAAGACTTTGAAGACCAGGATCTCTGACCACATCTTTGTTGAAGCCTCTTTGGATTGTTGAGGTTTGATTCTTTTTTGTTCCTATCCCATTGTTGTTACTGTTTTATTCCTTTACTTTTCTCGATTATTGTATTATTTTCTTATTTTCAATATTTTTATTTGTGAGGTGGCCAGAGTCATTGGGAGTTGGATGGCATATCAACTTAAAATACTAATCATAGTAGCCCTTGGCCACCTGGGCAATTGTATAAATAAAAATTCATGTTTCCGTTAATGTCTGCAGTATGTCAGTAACATTGTATACACTTTTATGTTCTTTAACCTTTTGTATGGTTTAACTTCCATTATGGCAAATGGATTATATTGTCTAATCAATACTGAATAAGCAAATAATTCAATTATCTTCTCTAAAAAAATCCATTAGAATAACTGAAAACCAGGAGTTTTTAGAGTAATAAATTAAACAAAAATGTTTGTCTTCTCTTCTGACATTTGTTTTACCTAGTTAAACTGTGCTGCTGGAACGTCCATATCTGAATTCTTTTACATCAAAGCTATTACCAATTAAATTAATCATCTAAAATTCCTTATGGAGTAATAATATATGCAAATCATTAATTACTGGATTCTTTTTTGTTGTTTACAAGTATAAACATGCCACAGCCTACTTACCAAGGCCAATCATATTATTAACACAGAAAAAACATGGCAAAGATTCCTTAAGAGATGAAGAAAGGCAAGTAACAAACACAGAAAGGTTTGTTTAAAAAAAACAAAAAGCTATTTTAGGTTTAAAAACAACTTCTACCCATGAGCTGTCAGACTCCTAAATACAATCTCTCAGTAGTGGGTTTCAAATCCCGGCGCTACCAGTCCACTATCGGTAGCGTGCGAGCACACGGTGCTTCTGCGCATGCACAGAGCATTTTTGATGATGTCTGGCTGGGTGGGTGGAGCTTCCCGGTGCCAGCGCTACCATTTCGCCCGAACTGGAACAAACCGGTAGAAACCCACCACTGCAATCACTCCACGTACATATGGAAACATATGACCAGTTTTCCCCCCCACCCAATTACTTGTATAAGGATTACTCTCTATACTATTCATGTTGTCTTGTATTTTCTGTTATGGATTGCACCAGTAGAGGCTAAACCAATTTCGTTGTATACATGATGTACAATGACAATAAAGGCTATTATTATTATTATAAACCTGTTCAAGCTGGACTCTTTCTCCCTACATAGTAAATTACAGTATCACCAGCTGTCCTATGGGAAGATCATAAGCCTGTTTTAAGTAACACATATTGCATTTTTATTTACAACAGTTTGTATTGCTTGTAAGGTATGCTCCCATGAAACTTAAGATGCAATATTTGTGATCAATAATAAACAAGTAACATTAGAGTGCCGCTGTTTACTAATATTTCAGAAATACCTTGAAATCAACGAGTCCTATACCCCTAATGTGAGCAAACTGAGGAAAGATTCTATATGCATTAACCTTTTTTTCTAACCGAGAACAGACTAACTAAATGAAGTCCATCCAAACTCCTTCTCTTCCTTCTACTTTTCTCCCCAAACTCACCATGCTGTCCCAACGGCCTCCGCCTCCACCACCGCCGCCTCCTCCTCACGTGCGCTCCCCACACCCAGCTCATAAATCCTCAAAGCGGGATCTTGCCGGTGTTCAAGAGCCAATTCCCTAACCAGCGCCGGGTTTCTCCTGCCCGGCTCACGCCTTTCGAGCCTACAAAGGTCACGTCAGGACCCAGCTCCATTAGGACCCCGTGTAGGTTGTCCCCGGATCCGCCTGAATAGAAAACAAACCCATCTCCCCGTTGCAGGCTCAACCGGTTTGTTCTGCCCACTGCGCTAGAGGCGAATTTGCCTCACGGAGAATTCCCTCAAGAGAAAAGCAAAATAAATTTGCTCGCAAAGGCCCATTTCCTAAACTGGCTTTTCAACAGGCGCAGACTTGGAAACTCCGCAGCTTTTTGGAACTTAAAAGCGCGAACGACTACAACGATGGGGGAGGGGGGGAGAGGGAGGCTTTGTCACGTGACATTAGAGGTCACCAAAGTCGCTCTTCGTAGCTGACGGCGGGGGTTGCGGGGGGGGGAGAAACAAACCGGGTGAAATGAGGACGCGTTTCGCTGAGGTTTCAGCGCGCGTACGTTACAACACAGACAGCAGAATAAATGGGCAGCTGTTAAAAAAACAATCGTAAAAACAGTAATGGGTGAGACAGGAACCAAGATACAGATGTTAAGAACCCACGAAGAAGACGACAGCCCGGCTGTCAGCCGCCTCAAAGCACGACAAGGGGCTGCTGCCTGTGCCTAAAGCGGGTGGGCGTGGGCGGGCGGGCGCGCAAGCGTTATTTTGAACCAACCACCGTCTTAACGTAAAAACGGCATGAACCCGGAAGTTCTGGCTGGCGTGTCTCGTGCAGTAGAGGAGCGCGAGGGAGGCGTGCTAGTGCGCCTCGGAGTCTCGCGCGAGTTTCGGAGTCGGGAGGCGGTTCCGTACGATACGTGGGCAGCCCGTCCCCTCGGCTCCTTCAGCAGCCGTTATTATTTAGCCGCCTGCGGAAGAGCGAAATCGGGAGGAAGAAAGAAGACGGGGTGGCCCTTTTGATCTATGAGAAACGGGAAAAAAAGCAAAGTCTGTGGTGGTATTATGAGGAATGTGCTGACGAAATCTCGTATGTTTTGTTGTACAGGTAGTCCTCGACTGACAACAGTTCCTTTAGTGACTGCTCGAGGTTGCAACATCACTGAAAAAAGTGACTTTAAGATGGGTGAAATTCACTTACCTTCCCTACCGGTTTGCCAAAGTGCCTTATGCGCATGCGCAGAGGCTTAAAATGTCAAAAGAAAGTGACGTCCACATGGGTGGGCAGAGCTTCCTGCAGCCGCCGCTACCGGTTCACCCGAGCCAGATAGAACTAGCTGGATTTCACCCCTGCTTTACGGCCATTCTTCACACTTACAGCTGTTGCAGCATCACCACAGTCACGTGATCAAAATTTGAATATCTGGGAACTGACTGATTCATATTTATAACTGCTGCAGTGTCCTAGGACCATGTGATCACCTTTTGTCATCTTCTGACAAAGTCAATGGGGAAGGCAGATTCACTTAAAAATTGTGTTATTAAGCAAAACACTGCAGCTGCTAATTTAGTAAGTGTGGCAAGAAAGGTTGTAAAATGGGGCAAAATTCGCTACGCAACTGACTCACTTAGCAGCATAAGTTTTAGGCTCGATTGTGGTCATAAGTCAAGGACTACTTGTATTTTGGGCATCCTGTTATACATTGCCTGATGATGTGTAATGATAATTTTTACATTTGCTTCTTATTAATCATTCCTTAGAAAACATTCTTTGTGGAGTTTAGCCACTCAGTGGGGAATTTATCACCAAATAATTGATTTTATATGTTTAATTTTTACCCACTGAAGAACTTAACATTTGTGAATCCATCTACAAATAAAGCTACTTTGCCTCCTGATCATTTTGCTGACAGTTTTTCTTTGATATTTTGAACATAAATCAAGGTTGGAATTAACGGTATAAAAGTTGCTTATGGAACGAAGCAAATTTTGAGAGTTCACATTGTTGCCTCCAAATTCAGACATTCTGTGTTTGGGGTGGAGCTGATAAGAACTTGAACCCGGAATTTGAGAGAGGGGCTTTTTGCTTTGCCTGAATTACTTGATTTGTACTTCTGGGTGGGCAGAGAAGGCTATGCAAAGATAAAAGGCTTCAATGTTACACCAGTGGTGAAATCCTCTCCGGTTTGCCACCAGTTCGCTGCCTGCGCATGTGTGGTGCGTCCCAAATGCACACTGCACACGCATGCACAGTGCATACATGCACAGTATGCACCAAACACACGCTGCGTGTGGAAAAAGGCTTGGGAAGGTAAGTAGAACAGCGAGGGGGGGGGACAGCTGTGCCGTGCGATTTAGATTCACTAGAGTGCAGTATTGCAGGCTAATTCTTCTGCCGACTGCCAGCAGTTCGGCAGTTTGATTCTCACCAGCTCAAGGTTGACTCAGACTTCCATACTTCCGAGGTCAGTAAAATGAGGACCCAGATTGTTGGGGGCAATATGCTGACTCTATAAACTGCTTAGAGAAGGCTGTAAAGCACTTTGAAGTGGTATATAAGTGCTATTGCTAGTATTAAAAATGTACATAAAAACAAATTGTGGAAATAATCACACCTATGTGTGGAATGGGCAGCTCAGCGGTCAAGATGCTGGGCTTGTTGGCTGGAAAGCTGACACCCTGAGGTCTATGAGACCTCCCATCCTAGCCCCAGCTTCTGTCAACCTAGTAATTGGAAAGCATGCAAATGCAAGTAGATAGATACCACTTCGGTGGGAAGGTAACAGCACTTTGATGTGATGCTGGCCACATGACTGCGGAAATGTCTTCAGACAGCACTGGCTCAATGGCTTTAAACAGAAATGAGCACCACGCCCTTATAATCGGCAAGGACTTGCAGAGTAAAATCCGCAGACTGCTTTACCTTTCTCTTTTATGTGTGGAATAAATTTATTTTAGTACTGTCATTTAATTTATAAAATGTTTGTTTCTAGGTACACTGTTACTTTAATGAATATACTGCGGCTATGCAATGTTTTGTATTGCCTAAAGCGTCCAATTTCACCCCCACCCATGAAGCAAGTCATCATTTTGCCCTGTACCAGGGAAAGGGTGGGGTTAAAGTGGAATAAATCAATAAAATATAGCATAAAGGAGTACAGGTAGTCTCTTAGTGGCCATAATAGGGATCAGCAATTCAATTAAGTGAAGCGGTTGTTAAGTGAGACTGTGATTCTGCCTCTGATCTTATTTCAGCTTTCCTTTATTATACAGATTTGCAGAGTTCATAAATGTGATGTTTGCTTGCAAATTTACATTTCATCACTGTTATAACTATGAACGGTTGCTAAACATGCAGTCGCTAAATAAGATTATCTGTATGTATAATTTTTCATAGCAGAATAATGCCTATTATCTGCCTTCTGGTAAAACTTGTGATTGTGGTGAATGCAGATGTGAAAAATATATCACACTAACTGTCCCCTTATAGGAAATAAGTAAATTGCTGAAGGAATGAACTTTGCCAACTTAAAGCTATGGGGGAAATGATAAAATTATGCATTAAAAATCGGAAATGTTTAAGTAAAATGACTTCATTCACTGCTAGTTAATATATTTGAGGTGGAAATAAGAAAAAATAATAACAGATCCTTTATATCCAGCTGCACAGTTTAGGTTTTTTTCTTATACTTACTATATCATCTGTTTGTAAAATAGTGTCCTCTTCCATCTATCCTACTCTATCAGAGATTTGGAATATTTTACAATTGATGGATGGGATCTTTTCTTCTCAAATTCATCTTTTTTCAAAAAGGTGTTGGGAAAGGATATATGGTATTGCAAATGAGAATATATAAGATCTATATGAATATTTGCAAAGATATGCATGCATTCAGAAAATATGAAAAGTAATAAATACTTTTTTCCATAATTCCATAATTCAATGCAGTGGTGAAATCCTCCACGGTTTGCCACCAGTTCGTTGCCCGCGCATGCGGGGTGCATGCATGCATGCGCAGTGCGGACCAAACATACATGCACACATGTACTATGCACCAAACACACTGCACATGTGCGCATGCACAGTGCACTCCAAACACATGCTGCGCACACAGTGTGCACCAAATTTCACATGGAAAAAGGCTTAAGAAGGTAAGTAGAACAACAGAGGGGACAGCTGTGCCATGTGATTTAGATTCGCTAGAAAGCAGGATCTAAATCGCGCGGAACAGCTGATTGTCAGAAATACTGGTTCGAACGAACCAGTAGCTTTAATTACTACCGGTTCATCCAAACTGGTAGCATTTCACCCCGATTCAATGCTTTTGTAAGGTTCTCAAACGTATACAGCATCATTGGTGAGTAGTAACATGTAATTTTAAAAGAACCTTTTCTTAATTACTCATTTATGGGTTACTACTTCAGAGGAGTACTTATTCTATAGTTACAGATTTGTCTTATGAACTAGTTGCTTTTCCAGAAAAAATGCCTGATTTCACTTTTAATAATTTGCTAGTAAGATATACTGAAACAAGCAATTTAGGAAGGAATATAATTGCAACAAAAGAGCCATATGTTAACATGAACTAAGTAGTCAAGATTTTAATTTATTTCACATTTTTTTTGTGTGAAAAATTTTAGCTCAATGGTATAGTCATGTTTCTACGAAATACATCACTAGCTACAAACACAATACCCTATGATGTTTTGTCAGCAATAGATCCCATTGAGTACAGTGCAGATCAGCCAATACAATTCAGTTGCAATTGCAATATAAATAAAATATGAAATCTTTAGTATATTGAACCCTTAGGACTACATTATAACACCTTGCTTTTTGTGATAAAAAATACAATCACTGTACTTGTTTCTCAGTATATATTTTGTAATCAATGTTTACTTTATGGAACTAGCAAGGATGTTGCTCAGCTTTGTTATCATAATGTACTGATTTTCATAATGAAATTCTTCATGTTCAGTAAAATCCTTTTATGACTTTTAAAGATACTCATAGTGTACATCCCATGAAGTAATACTGTTGTCATTATAACTATCAGAATCTGACTAATCACAACATGTTTGTTGTGCACGTCTCTAAAGGATAATGAGTAATTTTATATAAACATGTATTTTCATTTGCAAGAAAATAAAGAATTATGGAAGACAGCAATATAAATGGAATGTGAATTATATGTCTTCATACCTGGAGACAACGCAATTAAAATGATGATTCTAATAAGCAAAACAAGTATAAACAGGAGCATATGTACAAGAATTTCACTGCAAGTCCCAAAGGTCAAAAATCAAATCTGAAAATCAATCATAACTTCAAAGAAAATTAAAGCAATGAACAAATTAATTTCAATATGGTTTGAGAGTCAGGAAAAAGCTAACAACATGACAGCAATATTCTTCAATGGCTCTACAAAAATGTCCCAGATACAAACTGAGCAGTAAATGGAAACCTATAGGATATATTGACAGGAATGTACTGTTTTGTTCCACTGGTCTGCAAAAACTTCAAACAATTTAACCACTATGCTTATAACCTGTATTCATATTTATGTGATCCGTGTATTTTATTTTTGTAATGCGTCTTTGTTATATCCAGATGAATGTATAAAAAGCTTTGAATCAGAATGGGGAAGGGCAGATGCTAGGATGAATATCAGTGCATTAACTTAAAGGAATATTTTTTCCCCATGGTTTTTTT